TAAAATTCTCCATTCTACCACATAGAACATAGTTATAACAAACTTTTTAACTAACCAAAACTTAAGTACATACAGCATAATCTTATTTATGCATAATTTTATCTTTAAGTCTCAATGTATCATCTTCTCACAAAACTCTTAAAGCTTTTCCATTTAAAACACCCAATGTAAACTTCAAAAGCTTTATCCTCATTTATATCACCATAATTCATAATACATCCAAAATACTTAAACAAATCATAACTATGTATCATCATACCTACTAATAATATTCACTAATAATTGTTAATATCACACCTCCTAAAATTGCATATCTTATGCCTAGGAGGCTAGAAAAAGTAACAAAATTCTTATTATTCTTTCAATTACTTAGGCATAGTAAATAAGATAGTCAATATTAACTAATCATTAACTAATTAATTAAAAATTAATGCATGCCCATAAATAATTACTAATCAATATATCTTATGACAATTAAAAAAGTTTGAACTGTCATTTATTGAATAATAATCAGTTAAGTTAATTAAAAAGTACTAATATATTAACAAGAATAATTAATAATACATTATTCATTAATTTAGATACTAAATTAGGTTAATCAGTCAAGGTTTTTAAGTCGACTAAATTTAAATTATTAGGTGCTATGTAATATGGTAGATCGGTCATGTTATAGGAGGCGGACAAGCAAACACCCGCCCCCCTTTTGGGGTGGGGTCCAATAGCAATTAGAAAGAAAATCAAGGGGGATTAGGAGGAAAAATTCAAAAGAGGGGCTATTTAGGGATTTGCATTATTTTTGTATGTTTTTTTAATTAATTAATTATTTATTTATTTATTTTTATTATTATTATTTTTTTTTGCTTGCATTAAGTATGTTATATTCCTAGGATTAGGGTTATGTATGTATTTGCTGAAATTAAAATTTCCTAGGAGGTTTGAGCTCTAGCCGACGGCTAGAGATTTGGTAGAGACGGATCTTCCTCTCCAATTGAAGATCCATTGTATTTTGTTCGTTTTCTTCCATATATCATCAATCAAAAAGGTTTTCTCATAGTTTTCCACATCTTTCTTCATAATTACTGTTTGGACTTTGCTGAAATTCAATTTCAGCCAAGATATTCTTCTATTTCTACAAGCGTTACCTGTCAAATTGGTATTAGAGCGGTGACTTGGGCTGCAATAGGACTTCCTTGTTGATTTATGCTGCGCTTTCTCTCCGATTTTGCTGTTTTTTTATGTTTGGAGACCAGATTTGAGTCAAAGTTGTTGTTTTTGCTATTGGAGTATAAATCCGGGTACCTATGGCAGAAAGAAAGGTAGAAGTGCTGGAAGGGGAGATCAGACAAATGGAATTTGAAATTTCAAATCTACAAACTCAAATTTCATAATTCAAAAATCAAATTTCAAACGTCCACGAGAAGATTGATGGAAAACTTGTCATCCTGGAGGAGATGCTAAAGAAGTTGCTAGAGGGACAATCCAAAACGATATCGTCGGAGGCAAGGGAAGTTGCCGACAACGAAGGAAGTGAGAAAATTCTAATCCGATAAGGAGAAGAGAAGATCGGGAGGTGGAGATTCTAGAGGGAGAGGAGAGAATGCCTCCCCTAGAGCCTATTCCTAGGGTGGAGCCGGGTAGAAGGTATGGAAAGAGGGGTGAGGAGATCGGGCATGAACGAAGGGGTGTTGAATTTGAGAGGAGAGGGGCAGCAGTTAGAGTAATGATGACTCGTGATTTGGGAGAGGCTATGGAGCTAGCCAAGTTAGTGGAGGATCAAAGGCACCTGGAGAGAGAGACTGGAGGCAACAACTCAAGAGGTTTGTATAGGATGACCACCACCTTTTTGGCATCCAAGGAGCCGACACTGGGTACTCTTAGGGAGACCCCGAAGGAGAAGATTGTAGAAGGGAGACCTAGGAAAAACTTTAAGAAGCTCACAAAAACAGTGTTACACAAGAGAGGGTGAAGGGGCTCTATTTCAAATGTGAGGAGAGGTATAAATCGGGGCATAGACGTAATGATCAAACTCTTCAAGTTCTCACTATTTGTGATGATGAGAAAATTGACGAGGGAGCCGTCTTTCTACCTTGCCGATAAAATGAGTCTTTGGAGGTATTGTTAGACCAGTCTTGTTACAGAAAGCGAACAGGCTCCGCATCAAATTCACGTAGCCCCTTTTTTTGTGTGTGTGTTGGGTAGGGGGGGAGGGGGAGGGGGGGGTGTTCATCAGCAATTAGAAAGACAATTAGGGGGGTTAGGAGGAAAAATTCGAAAGAGGGGCTGCTTTCGGATTTGCATTATTTTTTTATAATTTAAGTACGTTGTTTTTCTAGGGTTAGGGTTACGTATGTGTTTGAAGAAATTAGAATTTCCTAGGAGGTTTGGAGGAAAAATTCAAAAGAGGGGCTGCTTTGGGATTTGCATTATTTCTTTATAATTTAAGTAGGTTGCTTTTCTAGGGTTAAGGTTATGTATGTGTTTGCTGAAATTAGAATTTCCTAGGAGGTTTGGGCTCTAGCCGGCGGCTAGAGATTTGGGAGAGACAGATCTTCCTCTTTAAATGAAGATCCATTGTATCTTGTTTGTTTCCATCCATATATCATCAATTTAAAATGTTCTCTCCTAGTCTTCCACATCGTTCTTCTCAATTACTATTTAGACTTTGCTGAAATTCAATTTCAGCCAAGGTTTTCTTCTATTTCTACAAACATTACCTATCATAATCCCATTAATATAATTAGATTAATTTGATCACTCAAGCTCAAAGGAGTGCTCACACGTTAAGTTCTCTTTTCAATATAATTAGCTTAATCATGCTTATGACTGGCTTTAAGAAAAGAAAAGGCTTCGGCCTTCTAAGATTAAAAAAACTGTCAAAAGAATCTGTCTTGTAAGCCTAAGAGTGCTTAACTTGACTTGAACCAGGCTTAAGCCCCCATCCACCAAGCTCTTGACTCAATTGTTTCCCAATGAAAGGGCATTGAAGTTGTAACGCTAACTAACTAAAATAAATAAATCCTAGGCAGCATTCCTTCACACTAGAAGTTATAATGGTCATGGATCTGAGATTAAATTGTAGGGTTGTCAAATCGGGTCACGAGTAGGGTTCGGGTCCAACCCGGAACTGACCCGACACTGTTCGACCCGACCCGTTTTTGCATATGGGTCGATTTTTCAGACCCAAACCTGACCCGCTTCGGGTATATTTTACTAAAAAAATTTTATGTAATTTGATATATTTAAATCTAAACCAAATTATGGTAAGATTTACTTCAATAAATTTAAAATAAATCAAACTTAATTCAATTTGGGCAACATGATTTATTATTTTTGGAAATAGCATTTACTTATTTCATAATAATCTTTTAAAACTCTCCTAAATTAATTAAAAATGGATCAAACCTGGTTGATTTCGTGTTTTCGGGTCAACATGAATCCGACCCAGTTTTACAAACGGGTTGAAATCCCTAACCCGAACATGAACTCAACCGATTCTAGTTCGGGTCGGATTTTTGGGTCGTGTCAAATATTGTCACCCCTATTAAATTGACATTTTCTCTTACTTCCCAAGAAATTTGGGATTATCATTTGTGCTACAATATATTTCATACAATGACCAAACTATTTTAAACACATTTTCAACCCATTAGATTAAATTGAATGTTTCACTTACATCACAGATATCTGACAAATAAACAAATCCTTTTAAATACCTCCAATATTTATTATGCATCAAGGTTATGATTTTTTCTTCCATGCATCAAATTTTAAAGGTAGAGGTAGATTTAAAAAAAATTTGTTAGAAAGTACTAAAAATAATTTTTTTATTAGATTTAAATGACTCTTAATAGGACACAATAGAGAAAAATGATTAATATAGCTGACCCTATATAGTGGGAAAAAGGCTTGTTGTTGTTATTGTCACCATCATCCAAGTGGCTCAGCATTACGAATGCAAGGATTTTGGGGGGGGGGGGGGTTTATTAGAAATTGTGACATTGTTAAATCAAAAATTTGAATGAAGTTGCTTCTTGTGTTTGTTTACCAATAGAAACATTGAATTCCGTCTGCTTTTTACATGGATTTGGCTCTCTTGGAAGTAGAAAAGGTATAAATATGAAAATAGCAATGCTAATAAAAATATAGTTTCTTAATTCAAACATTCTTCTTTTCATTAATGTTCATAAGAAATAAGAGGAAAAATAGACAAATAGGAATAATTCTAACTCTAAATTAGAGTTTAGTTTGACTCAATTTTGAAGGATGATAGCCTACAAATACTTTCAGTAACATTAATACATTGCACAAAATAATTTTCACATTTCTTTAAGATCAAAAGGATCAAGTCATTCCTTATGGATAAAAAAACTCCCACTTTCGAGGAAATTATACTTGTGCACAACTTAAAGGTAAACAAGCATGACCTTTAAGGACAGGACAAAAAAAAAACAGAAAAAAAAAAGTATTATATTTGTTAAAGGAAAAACAAGATATTAAAAAGAGCATTGAGTTTCTACAACTTACATCAGTTGCAAGTCAGTAAACCCAAAAGGTTGAGACAGTGAAAAGCGGCAAAGTAACACAAGGGATTCAAAGTTTCTAAAGGAAAAAATAAAAATAAGAAAGGAAGCATAAGTCATAGTTTCTATTAGTTTCAATACCTCCAAACATAACAGAATAATTGTGAGAGTAGAGGTTTCATCAACAATTGGATAAGTCAATGTCGCCATTATCATTAGCGTCGTCCCAACTATTTAGGGTCAACTTTAAAAATCTTTATTTTCCATTCATTTATATATAGCGTGCATGAGTCATTAAGCTTATCACACATCTTTTTCATAGCTTTTATGCATAGTACCATTGGCTTACTCTTTTTCTTCCTAATCATTTGAGAGTAAAGAAAGCGCATAATGAACTATGTTTCCACCTCATAACAATTACCACCAACCCATAGCTCCAAAATGCAAACATTTGGATGAACAAAGAAAAATAACCATTACCTGTGGCACCATTGCTCTGGTTTTGTACCCTGCCATACAAACACGGTTATATTAGTAATGGATCAAGCTTTGAAAAAGAAAATAATAATAAATAAACCAACGCAAGAATCTTTCAAAAGGTGAAGAAATCCTTATAAAATAAACAAATTATCCAACACAAAGGAAAGGATAAACACTAAACTGAAAAACAAATTATCATTAAAAAGCTATTTTTGGCAAGAAATAATTTTGTAGCACATTTCACAAATCTAACAGCACAGAGTAAGAAAGAAATATACATGGCAAGCAAACATTACATAATAGCAGTGGTAGAGTTGACAATACTAAAAAAGATAACGAAAAAAAAGCCATGAGATTGCATTTGTTGGTGGACGAGTAGAAAGAAGAGGCCGGTTATAAGAGGCTTACAATAAGAACAGAAAGTTATGAAACTGCATTTGTAGGCGGATGAGTAGAAAGGAGAGGGCAATTATAACAGGCTTAAAATATAAACAGAAGCCTCTGAGATTGCATTTGTAGGAAGAAGGAGATTAGATGCCTACTGGTTCAACTGCTGCCGACCAATCAGTGTAAAAAGAGATTGTTGTAATGACAGAACTTGCTACAGGTAAAGAAAACAGAATTTAGTTAAGCCCTCAGAATAAACCTCAATAACAACAAATTCAATGAGAACCTGCAATGTCTCAGGTGATGCTAGCTGCCGAAGAAATTCTGGATTTTGTAACATTTCTCTCAACTGTGTATTTGATTCCATCATGCTACGAAGCTGTGGATTCATATTCAATATCTAACAGCACACAAGAAGTGTGAGATCACAAGCATGCTCAATGGGGCAAATTTTCAGGTTTCATCATAACATAAACAAGAGAAGGACCTGGCTGATATATTGCGGATTTGATAGCATAGATTGCATCATTTGTGCCATGGCTGGATTTTGCAACACCTGACTCAGGACAGATGGGTCAGGCATGCCACCAGCGCCAAGATCCGGACCACCAAGCCCACCAAATACAGCAGACCTTGCCTCACCATTAGGGGTTGATCTTGTATTTGTTGTTGGTGTAGGTCCTGTTGCTTAATAATATTAGAAACTTATGCAGATACAGTACTGAGTGGTAAGCTTCAGCAGTATAACTAAAAGCAACTTTCAATCAGTATATATACCAGCATTGTTCCATGGATTAGGAAGTGGGTTGCTATTTGGTGAAGAACCATTTGTTACATCTGAATTAGTAACTGATGAGTTTGTTGACCGATCCCTTGACTGTGTGTTTGCATGGTTCCCCAAGAGGGCTGCAAATGGATTTGAACCATCCCCACCAGTGTTTCCAGCCATGGTCGTTGCATTTAGGAATGGCTCCTGCACAGTTTCATACATACGCCTGAGCATGTTAAACCCTTCTGGTGAGGACTCGATATTGCTCATAGCTCTGTCTGTATTCCGCATCATTTCTCTCATTAATTCAGGATTTCTAGCAGCTTCCAGAGTCTGCCTAAGAGTGCTGGGATCATTTAGGACATGTGCAAGATCAGGATTGCGGTCTAGTATCTCCCGCATTTGGGGATTGCTCATAATGAGATTGCGCACCAAATCAGGATTATTCATTAAATTTTGAATGGCTGGCATGTTCAGCATATCCCTCATCATGTTTGGATTCTGAGTAAGCTGCTGCTGCACTTGATCAAACTCAGAAAATCCGGACCCAAGTAAGCCAGAAGCACCAGTACCAAAAAGCCCACTAGCACCAAGTCCAGGGAATAATGGAGAAGCAGAGCCAACACCACTAAAGTCCCCACCATCAGTGGAACTAGCATCTCTTGGAGCTGCTGCAGTGGTACCTGCAGCTGAAGTACCAAGATTGGCTGAACTATTTGTAGATGCAGTGGACAGCACAGCACCACGAACCAAGTGAACTGTATGATCGGACTCCAAGCCTATGAAAGGATGAGAATAGGAAAAGATCATTTATCTAGCATCAAATGAGAATCATTATCAAATAGAAAATACTGTCTTGAAGATAAGATGACATTCTAAATCAAATACTGTTAGCTCATCAAACATAAAAGCATGATTTATGAAAAAGTATAACAGATTTTTACTGGGAAGTACAGCAAGTTTTATATGAATCATTCAATCTTAACACATGAAACATGACTAGCATTACTATTATATCGTACTAACAATGAAGACAGGCCTAGCATGAAGGAGCGATACAGAGGAAGAAAAGTCAAATAGATGTCCAATTACCAAAACAACATAACATTAATAACAACAAAATAATAATCCTAAAGAGGAGTTTCTCATTCTTATTAAGGTATAAAAGACAAATATTTGAGCCTTACAAGTGCCGTGAAGGAATGCAAGAATATTTCATGGGAAATCATATCAAAAATGTTTTTTTAAGTTATGCAAGGTCAAGATTCCATCATTCAAGGCCTTGAATATGGGCATGAAAATATTTAAAAATTAAAAATGTAGTATACAGACTGGATGGAGCATACATTTTATCTATACAACAATCTAATGGGGCTGTTCATTTCGTTCTTTAGTAGCAGTTATAACAGGATTTCCCAAAAAAAAAGATGATCACTTAACATGTGGATATCCCTTTGAAAAGCTAAAGCCTGACTGATAGTAACACAACACAAAAACAACAACATCAAACCTTTGTCCCACTACGTGGGATTGGCTACTTGAATACTTTTTCGCCATTGTGTCCTATTAAAAGTCAAATTCTCATTTAAATCTAATAATGAAAGATCATTTCTAATATTTTCTAACAAAGTTCTTTTAGATCTACCTCTACCTTTCTTAACATAAGACAAATCTAAAATCTCAACTTTTCTAACCAGGTCATCGGAATGCCTCCGTTTAATGTGACCAAACCATCTAAGGCGACTATCTCTAATCTTATCTTCCATTGGTGCTACTCTAACCTTTTCACGTATATGCTCATTTCATATCCTATCTCTAAGGGTAAAGCCACTTATCCACTTAAGCATTCTCATCTCTGCAACACTTAACTTAGTATTATGCTTCTCTTTTTATGGCCAACATTCTGCACCATAAAGCATTGCAGGTCTCACCACCATCTTATAAAATTTTCCCTTAAGTTTGAGGGGGACTTTTCTATCACACAACAAGCCCGATGCATTCCTCCACTTCAACCATCCAATTTGAATTTTGTTGATGATATCCCCATCTATTTCACCATCACTCTGAACAATAGATCAAAGATATATAAAACATGTACTCTTATTAATGACTTGATCGCCCAAAGTCACAATCCCCTCACTAGGTCTATTGCTACAAAAATTACACTCCATATATTCAGTTTTAGATCTACTCAAGCGAAAACATTTGGACTCTAAGGTTGACCTCCATAATTCAAGTTTACATTCAACTCCCTCTTTAGTCTTATCAACAAGAAGAATATCATCAGCAAAAAGCATACACCAAGGTACATCCTCTTGTAAATGTCCAATGAGAACATCCATGACTAAAACAAAAAGATATGGGCTTAAGGCTGATCCTTGATGTAATCCAACTCAACCGAAATAGGAAAATACTTGGTCAAACCATATTGCAAAAAATGTTCACACCTCATATCTCACTCTCTTAGCCATTAGATCATGACCAATTACTAAATTTTAAGTAAATATAAATGCATCACTTTTGAATCCTAATCAGCTAAGCTCGTAAACATAAACATCTTCTTTGTATCCCTTTGAAAAGCTAAAGCCTGACCCTTAAACCACAAAAAAATATTCACATATCAAATCTCACTCTCTTAGCCATTAGTTAGAGACTCATGACTAAAATTAAACAACGATAATATAAATGCATCACTTTTGAATCCTAATTGATCAATTAAACTCTTAAACAAGCCTGTCCTTTTTGTATCCCCTCAAATTCTCACCACTTTGATTAAGCTAAAACCCAACTGACAATGGACTGCAAATAATGTTAACACCTCATATGTCACTCTCTCACCTATTAGATAGTGACTCATGACTAAAAATAAGCAAAGTAAATATAAATGCATCACTTTTGAATCCTAATCGGCTAAGTTCTTAAACATAAACATCTTTGTATCCCTTTGAAAAGCTAAAGCCCGAACATTACACAACAAAAAACATTCACATATCATATCTCACCCTCTTAGCCATTATTTAGCGACTCATGACTAAAATTAAACAAAGATAATATAAATGCATCACCTTAAATCCTAATTAATCAATTAAACTCTTAAACAAGTGTGTCCTTTTTATATCCCCTCAAATTCTCACCACTTTGATTAAGCTAACCCCGACTGACAATTAAACTGCAAATAATGTTCATACCTCATATGTCACTCTCTTACCTATTAGATAATGACTCATGACTAAACTTAAGCAAAGTAAATATAAATGCATCACTTTTGAAACCTAATCAATCAACTAAACTCCTAAAGAAAAATGTCCTCTTTGTATCCCCTCATATTCACCTCTCTCATGCAGGCCCACGAATCACTGGACCAAGGACCAATCAACATCCGAACAAAGGAAAGCCATAAGCAAAAATCAGCAAGGTGTTGGAGCCCTTGCAACTTTTATCATTTCTCACACTAGGTGGCATCTGTAGTAAAACTAAGTGCAAAAAATAGAAGCTTAATAAAAAACTTAAGGATTTAAATGACAATTTAAACATATAAAATCAAGATAAAAAATTTAATCAAGGAATTGAGAGCAGCACTATCATTTGGGATTGTTTTTGCCTTCGGATCAAGTGTATTGGTCAAAGGTTGATTGACGAAACCCTTTGGAGTTAAACAATCTCCCGATACACCATGGACGAGTTTGTTAGGATCACAAAAGCAACCATCTTTTATGGCAGGCAACGCTTACAGTTGATGCTTGGCATTGCCTAAGGTTTAGTGTGATGTATAACAACCATCTATAGCTTTTCCAAGGCCCATAAAAGAGCCCTCTGCCATAAATAACAAGAGGTTTTCCAAGTGGTCCTTCTCCTCTATGTTATTGGCCAAGCTTCAAACCATGAGCTTGCTCAAACTCTCCATATTGATATATAACTACAGATAAAGATGCCAACGGACATCAAGCAATGTGTTGAGTCGAATAATGTGGTTCAAATGGAGGTGGTGCAATCCATTTAGAAGCACTCGAGTTCTTGTAGCTCACAATGGTTGTGACCTCTCACTATCGACAAAAAAAAATATGGCTTAGAAGCAATCATCACATCTGCTCAACTTATGAAAAGGAAATAGCCCTTGTTCCTAAGTTTGTGATGACAACAAAGAGGGTGAAATAAACAAGTAGAATGAGGCAATTGAATGCAATGGACCATTATAGTTAGAACACAGAGAAAAGGAGGAGAGAAATGTGAGTAGAGTAGATTCCAATTAATAATCCCTGCCTATGTTCAGGAAGCCAAAGCATTCTCAAAAGCTAGATGACCAAGTCAATGCAACTCATGCTTAGGAAACATAGGAAATTTGAGCATTGAAATAATCAATATTTATTTAAGAATCCCTCATATGTCAAATGCAAGTTACTTTGCCAAATAAAAAAGATGCATAAGCACTAGTATTGTTTAGACCATGAACAATACATATGGTTAATAAGAATTTACCTTAAAGAGTATAAGAAAACTAGGTTTCAATGAACATCATTCCTTTAATTTGAATTATATATTTATCACTAAAATGGCATTTTTAATGAAGTTGGTCAAAGCAATTCAACACATTTTTCCCTTGGGACATTAGACATTATTGTGTTCATTATCACTCTAGAAAATTTATCATCACTTATACAGAAAACAACCTCAAATCCACAATTGTATAGGTGACTCAAACAAGTGTGCATTACAATTGAAAACATCATGACAAATTAAGGATTATTAAAGGGTTATTTGGTTGGCCAACAAATGAATGTAGTGTAAAAGGAATACTTTAGAGTTGTTTGGATGAATGTAAAGTAAATACAGGTGAATGTTTTTTTTGTTTTTTGTTTTTTTTTTTAATTTTTTTTTTGTTAGAAGTAAAGAATGTAGAGTAAAGTCATAAATGGTGACAGCCGGCTGCAGAGTGTGATGACGGCCGGTGGTTGGCGATGGCGGCCGGTGGTAGTGATGGTGGTCGGTGGTGGCGGTAACCAGTGGCGGCGGTGGTGACCGCCGGTTGCGGTGATGACAGGTGGCAGGCCTATGAAGGTAGTGGTGGCGGGCGGCAGGTGGTGGTCAAGCAAGCTTGTAATATAAACGATTTTCCCTTAAAATCGAAGGAGTTTGCTTTACTCAAAATGTACTACTTTACTTCATATTACATTTACTATATTTTACTTCGCATCATTTTATATTCCAACCAAACACCTAAATTTGTAAAACTCCTGCATTTGTAATATTTTACACCCTGAAGTAATCCAACCAAATAGCCCTTAAGAGAATGTTCAACATTTCTCACTGTAGTTATACATTATGCAAAACTATATGAAGGATAGAGTCTCACCAAATTAACGAAGACATGCATTACCCATATTAGGTTACCATATTTGTTAACTTTTGTAATAGACACAAGTCCCGCTCTACATGATCTATATTCCACTAGTTTATTGCCTATTTATTCAAAACATAAGTAATAACAAGCCTTTAGTTAATTTGGTAGACAATATCCCTAAATTATTTAAAAGGCTCATTCATCTGGGGTTAGATAATGCATAAATACAATTAAAAAGATTGACCAATGCTCTTAATTTTTACACTTAAGTTTGGATGATATATTTTGCAACAATGCACACTTGGTAGAGTTGTATACTTGTATATATGATCATTGAAATGAGACTGCATCAAATTCTTGATAAAGTAATTTCAAATGAAATATATGGGGTTTCATTAAATAAATATTGAATATTTCAAAGTCTTTACATTCTCTACATGAATTGCATGGGACTAGTGTTGAGGATTTTTTTTCTTTACTAGTGTTGAGGATCCTTTCACTTTCTAAGCAAGATTAGGCTTTAAAAACACCACTTTAGCTTGCTAACTCATCTCCTCTTATCTACCCTACTTCAAATCTCCCTCCTTTATCATTATCACCACTGAAGTTAGAAACTACAATTTTTAGCATCTTCGTATGATCAGTATCTCCTCCACAACCAAAAATAGGAGATTGCAAAGATCATTAATTATGAGCACTCCAGCAGATGCCTCAATGACTACATATCATCAACTTCATTCAATACATGCATCATTGAATTCAACACATTATTTCTCCATTCCATCATCTCAATAAATAGCCACTAAGGGACATTTAGAGCTTGAAAAGGCTTTGAGGTCTAAAGCTTGGCAAACAATACAAAAGAGGGGACCACTTGGACAACCTCTCACTATTAGAGGTGTTGACTCCCGAATATTCCTTGGCAATGATACTCAAACCTAACATGATGTCATAACTCAAACCTTTGACAATCTCAAGCAAACGTAATTATTGTTTCTTATAAAATGAACATTGCTCTGATGATCCTCATTGGTGAGCGCACTATGTGTATGAAGAATTTTTCTATCCTAATGGATTGACAAGCATAACCTTTGCATCAAGACAAATTATTCAAGGAGAAAAAACAATCTTAAAAGATAGTGCCTAGGCATAACTAGGCTATAAGAATTTGAATCTTCATAATATATATTTAATTTGTCATTTTAACCATTTAAGTTTTAGATTATGCTTCTATTGTTTCATTAGTATTACTACAACCTTTAAGACCTATGCTATGAATGCTACCATGAACATTGTCATGATTATTATAGTTAAATCTACCACTGAGGTCACACAACTAGAAGCACTTCCTTGGGTGCATTTGAAGCATTGGCAAACCAAAATCATTTGTATTTTATAAGCTTCTATTTTTGCACTTATTACTACTATAACACGATCCACCCCACATTTACCAATTCAATGAGGAGCTAAGAGGAGATAGGTTCAGAAAAGGAAAAATAAGCATGCAATTTTAAAAAAATCAGTTTCAAAAGCATAACCATAAAAAACCGAATAAGATGAGTAACATATTTTCATATGTAAGTTACATAACACAACGCAGCTCACCTTGGTCTAATATTTGGGAGCTTTGGCTCCTATCAATAGGTCTTGGACTCAAAACTTGCTAATGTGATGTGTGTGTTTGCCTTAACAGCTTGAATGTCCAAAAAAAAAGGGAGATTTACACGTAATAAGCATAAGATGAACTGCTTTACACGTAATAGAAATAATCATCAGACGTTCTTTCCTCCTAGTACGTTATCATACACCAAGAGTCCACTCCGAACCTCGTCATGGGAGTTTCTATATCCAAGGCACTGAATCGTATTTATTCTGCTAGGGTTCGTAAACAATCCGCGTCATCCTAGCAACCAATCATAGCACAAAGAAATAAAAACAAATAAATCATAAACAAAAAACCGGTCTTTAATCACACCAGGGAACAAATTAATTAGGAGAAAATAATAGCAGAATTAGTAGGAGCACCGTAGCTCTCTAGGGTCTGCTCGTCCTTCAAAATCCGCCCTTTGTAGATCAACCTCTGCTGCTGCGTCGGAACATCGGACTTCTCAGCAAGGAGGGTCTTGAAGGCGCCGACGGTGGCGTCGAGCGCGATCTGAACGGAGAATTTGGAGCCGTTGGAGCAGCGGACGTTGACGGTAGCGAGAAGGGACTTGCCGACGCTAGCGGCGCTTGAGTCGATCGATTCTCCTTCGATGCCCATGAGATGGATGAAGATCAGGGCTCTCGAACCCTAGGAATGAAAGAAAAAGGCCCTGATCAAAGAGATTGACTGGAGGAAAGGAAGCACCGCAGCCAGTAAGCAAGAACTCGAGAGGGAGAGAGGGAGAGAGGGAGAGAGACGACGTTTTTCTTTCTCTCTCTGGATTGAGCTCAGAGAAATAGGAGGGCCAGATGATCGGAGCGGCGGAGGAGAGGCGTTCTCGGGCCGAAGATACGGGTACGGTGATTTCACACAATGGAAAAACTGAAAAAGTAATTTTTGTTGAAATACTAAATTTAACTTAAATTGTTACTGAAATTTGTTACCTTCTCTCTTATATATTGTACATTTTTTGAATTAATAATTTTTATATAAAAAGATTAGAATTGTTTTCAATTAATTTTTTATTAAAATTTTCTCAATGAGAGATAATTTAGTTCAAAATAATAAAATTAATTTTGAACTTCATTTAAATTTTATTTGATTTAAATCTAATTTGAATACAGTTCCAACTCGATTGACCTAATTCTAACCTCTCATCTCTTAATCTATTGATCACTTGCAACTCTAATGATCTCTTCACCTGCATAGATCTCTAGAACTCTACAATTAATGGCACCATCTTCCCTAACATTTATCTTCTCTTGGAACTTATTAACATCAACCTATAAAATAACAATTTCTAGCCTCAAGTCTTGTTGAAACTCTCTCCATATGTCACGACCTCTTATATTTCAACCTCTCCGACAATCTCATAGAAGATAAACTCATCCTCATCGACAAGTTCGACATGCTAGCAAGCCTAATTAAGGTGTTCTCGCGGTGGCAAGGATTGCAGGCGACAATGTTTGAGATGATGCTTGGAGCTACAACAAGTTCAACGAATTAATGAAAATGCCGTCTCCATGAGTGATGTGAATCTTAAGGAGATAATGATTAAAAGATTTGTTAAATATAGATTTCAATTAATGAAATGCACATTACCAATTTATCCTTCGAAAATTGTATCCACTTGGAGTCGAACTCAACTTTACACATGTCCAACATGAAGCTCGTGATCTCAAGCCTTTTTAACCATCATAGTTGGGATCTCAAAGGTGTCCTCAAAAAGTTTCTCAGGGAAATCCTTAGGAAAGCTCTCGAGAACAATTATTGCATAAGTTCATGTGTTTGCCTTGTTCAAGAGAGCTTTAGCCTCAATAGTTATGCCATTCTCACTCATGATCACTTCAAGCCTCATGGTAGCCTTTTCTCATGACTTCTTACGCACATGCGGAACATATGGAATATGACAAGGTACATGAATATATAAATATCTATGAAAAAGGTTTGACATCCATTTCATCAAGTGATATTTATTATGGTCATTCATTTTATTGAATATAATTAGGTCATAGGCTCAACTGTCATAAGCATTTATCATTATCACCCATTCAGCCCGATATAATCAAGGTGAAAATTGTTTTATCATCACCATTTTATTATTGTCACCCATCCAGTCCAATAATATTGACCTTTGTGGCTATTACACACTATATCTTCAACTTATCATTAGCCTTGAAATTCATCTTAATAATGGCTCACCTAAAATAATAGAATCAGCAAACCTCATTTCGTATAAAGTTCTCCTCAATTAGGGCAAGTTACCTATATGGATCATCTTTACTCTTTTGGTTCTTAAGATTTCTAAGCTCTTTAGAATTTTCTCCTTTTAAAACTCTCTCTTTCTCAAATAAGGAGAACTTTGATTCCATAACACCAGAACTTACAACACTTCTACTAGCTTGGCTACTCTAAGCCACCACAAACAAAAAAACATATCATCTTCATCTTCTCCTATCTTCTTCTCTTCTCTTTAGAACCTAATGCAACTCAAATATAAAAGCATTCTTCTTACCATTACACTTCTCTCTATTGTAATTCTTCTTTCTTTCTTCTCAAGGTGAGCTATGCTTTATGGGGCTCTATCCTAAGTACCTTTATAAATAGTTCAATAAACCTTTTTAGCATACCCATTGTAAATATAGGTCATTTGATCGAATCATTTTAAAAAAATTGTGTGCTTTATTTATGCATCCCTTAGATCCTTGATTAGTTGGTTCCACTAAAGTTTAAAACCCTTTAGCAAGAGGTGTATAATGATGGTAGTGCTGCTATCATAATCTTAATATATTTAATAATATTATGTTAATATAAAACATATCTCTTTTAATCAAGTCTTACGACTTTGCGAGCACCTTCAAGGATACATCTTAATGGTGGTTTAATTCTCAGTCTATTTCAAGGTTACGATGAGCTAATATGTGACTCGTCAAAGTTTGAAATATGTTTAAATTTTCTTTGATATAAAATTAGTAACAACCCACTAAATTATGTAAGTATACGTACTAAATAAAGTAAAAAAGTGAAAGAGTTGAGTGTCGAACTCACGAGGAAGTGCTCTACTAAATTACAACTTAACTAATATTACTTCAAATGCACAACTTATCCTATTGAAAATGAAAATGATGTTTAGAGTTTTTATCACTAAAAGAAAATAAAGACTTTTAAAAAATATATTTTTGATACTTTTAAAAATAAAATGTTTTAGGAAAATGAATATAAATAGCATAGTCTTTCTAGTGTGACCCTTAATTGTAGATGTGGATTAGAGCATAAGCATCCCTAGATCTCTGTCGAGTTTGTAGGGGTGAAAAGAAAGGTTTAAGGCCTTTCTACAATTTTACTATCTCCATAGAATCTAGAATATTCAAATTTCACATATCTAGGCATGCAAATATTTTATTTTAATATTCCTATTTGTTCCAGTATTTCTCTATCGAGGTTATTCATCACACTAAATTTTAACTTCACACATAGTCATTATATGCATTAAATGAAGATTGGGAGATATTGAAAACATCATTTATTATTCAAGGAATAAGATATTACATTCATACTTACTAAGCTTTTTACATCATGAGCCCAATACTAGAGAATTAGTCATATATGAAAAATATAGCAAGCAAACTCATTTTTATTTCATTCATTGGAAGTAAAGATACAAGAGAAGTAATAAGAAAATTATCACCATGATGGATCAAATGATCTTCTCCTCACTTCTTCTTCCACCACTACACAGTCTCTTATACAAATAGACTAAGATCTCTACAAGAAAAGTATCTGGCACTTCTTTAGTCTCCCATAGACTTTAATATATGGGGGCACTTAGGAAATACACTAAAAATTATAAGAATTTACTTAAGTTATAGAACTCTATAAATGACATAAATGAAAAACTATTTATAATAAATATAGATACAGGTTCAGGCACCGTGACACTCGACAATGTGGCTCCACGATAGTAAAAAAGAACTATCACCTTGGCCCTATAAAGTTTACTTCGATACATCTCTAGCTTACATGGCATGATTACAAATTGAAATGGTGCATCTTTTTACTAAGTCAACGTGGCTCCTTGTATTCGTAACTACTCTACTATGGTTCTCCAAAAATTTGAGCACTACAACACTGTAATGTGATTTTGGTGTTAAGGCGTTACAAGGCTTGGCACTTTGGCGCTCATTTTCTTGAGGCTTATAGTGTTGCGGTGCTAATTTTGGGCACAACGATGTTGTGTAATGTTGCAACACTGACTATTGTACCACTACAATGCTTGCAAATAGAGAAGATGGTGCTGCAACATCTAAAATGAGTGCCTCAGCATAATTGATCTCAATTATATGACATGATATAAGCCAGCACTATGGTGCTGCTTAACACTCATAATTTTTTCCATTTTTGAACATTTCCTATACAAACATAACTAAAATAATACATTTTCACTAAAATTTAAATACAATAAACAATACACAATTTACTCTTAACAAATAATAATTGCATGTCACTGTAATGCAATATCTTTAAATATGATGCTACAATCTCATATATTATAAATACTTATGATATGATTTATATCCTCATCAACATTATAAGCTCCATCAATGCTCTTTTCCAAGCGTAAAATAAAATTTTAGTTGTTGACCTAATAATGTTTTATACTATTAAGAGAACCCTTGATGGCTTCTTAAAAGAGATATATAACCCCAATTATATCTTCTCCATAAAAGTGAGCTAGGGAAGCAAGAGGCCTATGAGACTATACAAACTAATTTTCTTATCATATGTACCCCATCAATCTAAAAGTTCCTTTAACTATGGCATCTTATTATCAAATTTCCTCATATTGAAGGTGCTATCATCATCTATGGGGATTTGACCCAATTATTGCGGTGCTACCTTAATACAATGAGGTTTGACATCCATCCAAAGAATAAGAGGGAACAAAAAATAACTAAGGTATTCATCTAAAGCGAGGATCATGTTAGGAGATTCCATATCAATTCTCTCTGTGAAGGTTATTTTATACTCAACTCAATTCTATTTCATGAGATAACCTTAATATTTTTATAAGACCTTCATAAAATGATTAGGGATGATCTAAACATCACTATCCACCACTTAAATATCAACCATGATAAATCATTAATAATAATAATAAAACCAAAAACAAAAAACAAAAGCTAACATATGAGATAAAGGTTTCCATCAAGTTAGAAGTAGATAATTTCATGCGTGTGGGATTTTTTCAAGATGCTCAATATCATGAGTGAATTTTTAATATCATATTGATCAAGAAGACTGATGGTAGTTAGAGAATATACATCAACGTTAAGTGTTGCAAATATGGATTCAAGTCCTATGATTTTGATGATAACAAATATTATTGGAGTTTTTACTATGCTATTTCAATTTACTATATATTTATTTTGCCCCGCACACTAACATTTCAGGTCCAAAGTTTACTTGTAACTTCAATCAGGTTAAGATTGGGTAGACTAGGATTGAGTCAGTTTGTAAATTTAAATTTAATGTACTTTTACCTTTCGTGATTCAAATCATGTATATAGTGGATACTAAGCTAATTAACCTTCCATACATACTCAAGGGACTAAGTTGGTGAGTTAAGAAATTTTTTTATTTTTAAAACTAATCATAAATACTATTTATATCATACTGGATGATCTGTTAAAATAGAAAACCCTACATATAACACTTGAGTTAATTAAGATTAATTAAACTCATCATATTGTATGATATAAATCGTACAGGACTATCCATTATAATCAGCAAAATAATTATCAATCATAATTTAAGTAATATTTTAATATTCAAAATATGTGTCTAATTGTACTATACGGTCGACGATAATTATACCTAAATTGATATT